GTTTTTCACCTGTGATACAGAGTGTTTAGTCATGTAAGGGATATGGAAAACATGCTGTTTTGTTTTTACTGTTTGTTTTATATTCATTGTAATTATTCACTTGAAAAACAGAATGTAACCACACTATATTGCCTGAAAAACTTTGTTGGGGTATATAAGCTGTAGAAAAAAAGTATACAGTAGAAAGAACACAGAACATGAGAATAGAGAATAAAGAAGTACACCATCAAGAGAGTGTGTCTTTTTCCCTAACCCCCACAGACAGAAAAGTCTAGTATACACCAATGCTGTGAATTCCTTTCAAGTCCTGTGCTGTCTGGACGCTGGCCCCTAGTGTCTTTCTTTTTTTATAGATGTACTGAATGGGAAAAAGACGAAATAAAAAAGAAAAGAAAGGCCAGAACTGTTCCTAGATATGATGGAGAATAAAGTTTATTGTAGATAAAAGGGAGAGCATAGAGAGGCAGGGACATCTAGGAGAATCCAGAGCTGGGCCATGTGGGGAGTTGAGGGTAGGAGGGGCTGGGAAACGAGGTACAGCAGCCAGGAGGCCAAAGGTACAAAAGAGACCGGTAACCAAAATGTCTCGATTATATAGGAAAAACCTTTGGGCAGGGAGCCCAGCCCCTGAGATGGAGGGCTCAGGGTAGAGGGTAAGGTTTGCCAGCCACACCCAGTAATCGGTAGGGCTGAGGGATGCTGGGAGAACCTGGTGGCCAGGTCCGTTTTGATATGTTAAATAGGTACCTCAGAGTTTTTTCCTGGGTTTGAAACTTAACATGTACTTTGGTCCCTTTTCAGTTCCACTGTGTTTTGAGGATCTCTCCTTTAAACACAAGCCATACACAGCTGTTAGACTCCCAGATGACTGGGAAGCATCTTTGCCTGTGTGTTGCTAGGCTAGCAGCTAAGGCTGCTTGCCTCTACCTTTGTGTGTCTTGGTTATTGTAAACTTTTTGGGCTACTTGGATGAGCTGAAATGTATTTATTTCCGTTAAGCTCTCTAGCGTTTGGATTTTTTTGCACATGTCTGGAGTTGATGGAGTGACAAAGGCCAAATTTAATGTCCTAGTGTTTTTTTTTTTTTTTGGTTTTTCGAGACAGGGTTTCCCTGGGGAAACCCTTTGGAGGCTGTCCTGGAACTAGCTCTTGTAGACCAGATTGGTCTCGAACTCACAGAGATCTGCCTGCCTCTGCCACCGGAGTGCTGGGATTAAAGGCGTGCACCACCACTGCCTGTCCTGTCCTAGTGTTTTTTGAGTCAGTGAATCAAAAGGGGTGTAAAATTTGAAAGTTTTTTTTTTTTTTTTTTTTTTTTTTTTTTTTTTTTTTTTTTTTTTTTTTTTTTTTTTTTTTTTTTTATAATCACTCAGGAAATGCCCTGGTTTGAGCTCTGAAGAACCTCAACAGTCTTAAACAAATCATTGGGTTTTTGGAGCTGTACCCCGAATTACAGTCATAGGCTATCAGTGAAGTGTCCAGGGCCTGGGAACCTGCATGTGTACTGGACTTCCAGCCAGGGTGTTTGGATAGAAAAGCTGCCTCAAAAGGCAGTAGCCTTTCAGCATCAGTACCAGTGGCTGAGACCAAACACCTCCCTTGGTCTGATCTGCCCCAATATATTCCCTTTCCTCTGAAATAAACAGTCAGGAGTTGCTGGCAGTCATCCCAGGGTGATGGGGTGTGGAGGACAGATTCCAGGAGGACAGTTAGGGCCTGGGGCTTATCAGAAAAGGAGGAAAAGGGTCTGGGTCTTCCATTTATACAGGGCTGTATTAAAGAAACAGATCAGAAAAGGGCAATGCCCTTCCTCTAAGTCTTTGTCCCCTGCCCCAGGAGGAAGTGGGAGCCTGTTGCAAGGGAAAAACAGAGGCTAGGACCTGAGTCAGTCAGGGGCATGGCTGCTCTCAAGTCCAAGGTGGTGAAGGAAGAGTGGAGGTTGAGAAAAATGTCTATCTCCAACAGAAGGCATAGAAATAACCACACAGGGGAGGAAACAAAAGGTATAGATCCGGTAGGGGCAGCGGGTGAAATAGAGATGGGGATAGGGTGTGGGTGTGGATAGAGTAGGGTGAGACACCCTGGAGGGGCCTGAGGTTGGGGAGGAGGAGGAAGAATCTGGAAGAGATAGGGAAGATGGGTTGTAGACAGGGGGAAGGGGACCAGCCCAGGAGAGAGAGCAGGACAGTCTGACTCTCCAGCCAGTGATGGAGGTTTTTCAAGAGACCAAAACAGCAGGATAATCCCTAGAGGCACAACCCTTAAGCCAAGAGGGTGGGTTTTGAACAAGAGCCAACCATTGACCAGTATAAGGGAGCACTGATCAGGATGCACAGGGATTCCTGAGACCTTGAGTCAAACTGTCTTCATAGCTGGGTTCAGGGAGCCAGTAAGATGGTCATCCCATTTAATAAGAGGGCCAGTCAATATCCTAGTAAGTGTGTAGACTTTATATTTTTGGTTGTGAGCCTAGCTTTTAATGGCTGAGCTATCCCTTCAGGCCACAGACTTTATTTGTTCATCTATCTATCTATCTATCTATCTATCTATCTATCTATCTATCTATCTATCTATCTATCTAACTAAAGTGCAACCCTGTACTCTAAAAACCCTTGGGAGAAATTTTTTAGCATAGATCAAAGGGGTGAGAGTTTAGGCTTGGTGGTTCCTATGTTAGGAGAAAATTTAGGTGAGTTGAGGAAGCACAAGATTAATACAACCAATCCAGCAGCTCTGGCAATGAAGAGACGATGGCCCCATGTAAGACCTGCCACAATAATGCCCTTGTGGGAGCTAGAATCTGAGGCCTGGAGAGGTGACTCCAGGAGTGGATTAGTATGACTGGAAATTTCCCATCTGCAGCGGTCAGGAGACTTGTTTCTGCTTTGCAGACAAAAAGACAAATAAATAACAAACAATGGCACCTCTAAAGGGTGCTGCCCAGTGGCAGAATCAGGAAAACAAAAACAAAAACAAAAACAGCACACACTCCAGCTATAGAAAGAACAATGGTGTACAAAGGGTGCCACCTAGTGGTAGAATCTGAAAAAACCCCAGCAGAATCTCAAGTCAGTTATCCTTTGGAGTTGTTTTAAAACAAGACATATTATGTAGCCTTGGCTGGCCTCAAATTCAGAGATCTGCCTGACTCTGCCTCCCATGCTAGGAGTAGTCATGCACCACCAACGGATGGCTGATAAAATACATTTCATATAAAACATTTGTCATGATCTTATTTTCAGATAGGGTCTTTCTATGTAGCCTAGCCTGGCCTTGAATTTGCAATACTGTCTCAGCTTCCCAAGTAGCTGGGAGTAATAAAGGAGAAGCCAGAGAGCCAGTTATGTCCAGTAGTTTCAGGGGCCATGTATGCACATGTGATTTTACAATGCACCATACAGTTGTATCTTCCGCCTGTATACGTGCTCCTCAGCAGAATTAAAGCCACAAAGGTTGTTCCTTGGGGCTGGAGAGATGGCTGCTATTCCATAGTGGTTCATAACCATTGGTAAATCCAGTTCTAAGGGATCTGACACCATCTTCTGGCTTCTCTGGGTACTAGATATGCAAGTGGTACACAGACATGCAAATAAAACACTCATATAAATAAAAAGAATTAAAAATCTTTTTATAAGCCAAAATTCATACTCATAAAATTTAAAAAAATCTAAAAACCTTTTTGAACAATCTGTTCCATGAAATGGTACTAGTTGGAAAAAGGAGTTCAGTGGGAGTGAGAGGAGACAGGGTATGGGGGCATGTGAAAATGACCAAAAATACAGTATATACATGTATAAAAAATGAAAACGAATTGTGACTAGTGATATTGGCTGGGTGGTGGCGAACGCCTTCAATCCCAGCACTCAGGAGGCAGAGGCAGGCGGATCTCTGTGAGTTTGAGATCAGGCTGGTCTATAAGAGCTAGTTCCAGGACAGAGAAACCCTGTTTGGAAACCCCCCTCCTAAATGTAGTGCTTTTTTTTTTTTTTCCCTCGACAGGGCTCTGTGTAGCCTTGGCTGTCCTTGAACTCACTCTGTAGACCAGACTGGCCTTGAACTTACAGAGATCAACCTGCCTCTGCCTCCCAAATGTTGGTATTACAGGTGTGTACCATCATTCCTAGTTCGGAATATTTGTGTGTTTGTGTATGTTTTCATGTGTAAAGGGCAGAGGACAACCACAGGTGTTGTTCCTCAAGTACCTTGTGTCCTCTGTTTGCTACTTTTGTGGATCTGCCTCTGTGAACATATGTAGGTGCTCACAGTGGCCAGAAGCCACTGGACACTGGACACCTTGGAGCTAGAGGCAACTGTGATCTACCCAACATGGTACTGGGACCTGCACTTGGTTCCTGTAAGAACAGTACCTAGTTCATAACTGCTGAGTCCTATTTTCAGCCCGTCTCCTCTCATTTGTTGAGATAAGGTCTATTAATGGGGCTGGGGGTTTGCTTTAGGGCTGAGTTGGCTGGTGAGCCAACTGCAGGGTCTGTTGGTCATTTCCTTTCCAGCACTAGGATTACAAGTGCCACCACACCTGACTTTTCACATGGTGCTGGGGACCAAATCTGGGTTCTCATACTCATGTACTTTACCAACTTATCTTCCCAGCCCTGAAATATTAGGAAAAAAAAAAAACAAAACCAACAACATGTGTGTGGATGGTACATGCCATGGCACACATGTGGATGTCAGAGGACAACTGCTGATTCAGCTTGTTCTTTTTGCCTTTTTAAAAACATGGATTCTGGGGATTAAACTCAGGTTGCCAGACCTGTGCAGCAAGTACCTTTATCCTCTGGGCCATTCTGCTGGCCCAGGAATAATTATTTTTAAAGAGACTCAGAGGAGAGGATAACACTCGGCTCAAGGAATGATGGCAGAGTCCCAAATTACCAGACATTGTTTTTGTTTAAAGACAGATTCCCATCTGTCTGTCCTTGCCAGATTCTTAGAAATAAACCAGGGGACACTAAAAACCAACTAATGGACCAAGGAAGTAAATGTAGCCAAGAAAGGTAGGACATTTTATTTTACATACAAAAAGGGTGCAAACTGAGTCCTTTCCTCCCCAAACTGGGGAAGAGGTATACTTAAAGATCACATTTGTATTGTCCATGGTGCCCTATGAAATGGGCTACTCTGAGATAACATATCCAGACCCACATCCCATTTTCTCCAAAGGCTACTTCCTCTGCAGAGGAGTTTTCCACAATGGTGTCCAAATCTCTCTATTGGAGGAAACATTTCAAATACACTCAAAATTGACATTCATTTAAAAAATACTACAAGTTTCATTTTTCACAGCTGCGTTTTTTTTTGTTTTGTTTTGTTTTTTTTTTTTCCAGTGCCAGGGTTTAGGAAACATTATGTATCTTAAAAAAAAAAAAGTAGAAAAAAGTCATTTAACAATAACTAGACACATCCACACATGAAATCAAACTGATTTCCACAGCTGATTTATACATCATCTACTTAAAAAAATTGCAACCAACATCCCAATATTTTTTAAAGAGTACAATGGGTAAAACTTAAAAAAAACCACAAATAATAAATTAAAGAGTGTAATATATCCAATGGGAATTGCTGCATCAACATTACTTTCCATTAGAGGGTTATAGCATTTTTGGTTTCATCTTTTCTGCGGTTCTCTGCTTGATAAACAAGGTTCCTTCCCAGAGCCAGCTTGCTCACCGATCTGAGCAGCTCATTTGTCACACTGTCTCTGAGAACACTGAGAACACATAATTCCCAGGAGCCTGTGCTGCCTATGAGAACAAACCACGCACAGATGAGTGCACATATTCATCGGTAAATACATGTATCCCCCAAGAAATGGCTCATGTTTCCTGAGACATTCCGAACAGATTGTAAGCCTTCTAAAAGGTTTTGGTGCATGGGTTAGCCTGGGATTTGGTCTGGAGCTCCCAAAGAGGGGTACCAAAATGATTCACCCACCCTGAAAAGTGGATTTGGGTTAGTTTGGATGGCAGTTGTCTGTGCATTACTGGGATGACTGCAATGCACTCTGGCTTATTACCACAGATAATCCTCTGCTCTGAGACCTTAAAGGTGGTGATGGCACCAGAAATGTGATTGTGATGGGGGTGGGGGAAAAGAGAGAGAGAGAGAGAGAGAGAGAGAGAGAGAGAGAGAGAGAGAGAGAGAGAGAGAGAGAGAGAGAGAGAGAGAGAGAGAGAGAGCCAGCGAGAGAGAGAGAGAGAGATCCTGTCCACACAACCGAGGTTTCTTTATAACATCAAGTGTGGTAATTGAACTAGAGATATATGGAGTGCATTTTCACTTTTTTTTCCTTGATAAGTTGATGTGTAAATACTGGAGTGGGTTTCCTGGTTGGTTTTTTGAGAAAATATGTTAACTACTACTGCCTATATCCAGGGATCTACTAACTATTTTGATACAATAAGAATTCTATTCTTCTGTACTTAGTTAACCTGCAAAAGGAGTAGGACAAACACCTTAAGACTGGTTATTGGATCAGAGACTCCCAAGACTGGTGATGAAAACACTGCTCAAAACTCTACAAACTCACAGAAGGACCATAGTGGCCTCTCCTTTTCATACTCACAAATTAACCCCCTTAAAACAAAGTCCCCCAACAAACAAAGGAATTCTTATTTGATTGCTACCAACCCATCATGGGGAAGGCTGGAGTTATTTGCCATCAACATCTACATGGGACTTCCTTGATGTCTGCAAAATCAAGAAACCCAGAGATAAGTGCTTGTTACCCACATGGCCAATCCATTTGGGTACTAATTATCCTGGCTCCCTGAGGGTCTCTGGAATCAACCTGCCTATTTGGGGCAATGGAGGGGATGGTGGCAGTGGCTTGGCAAAGGCAATGTTGGTTGTATGACCATGCAAAGTCCTAGTCTGAAAAACTCAAGCCCTGGCATGACTGACACTGGACAAAGCATTACCAGGGCAACAAAACAGGAATGGAAAACTGGTTTCAGTATGAACATGGAAGAGGTGGCGGGGACACAGGAGTCATGTGGGTTTAGGAGGGACATTTGGAAGATAAAGACCAAATTCCTTTGAGGAAATGCTTCCTAGGCTTCTGAGAAAGATATTCTTGAGAAATGCAGCCATGCTTGCTCAACATGGAGGGGGAATGGATTATCTTTTACATTATTTTTTTAAATTAAGGCTATGATCCTTAGCCACCACTTTAACATTACCATTGCTTCGTACTTTTGGCATTACAAGTGGTTGCTAACACTGGATATCAACACATAATAAGCACTACCTCTGTAGTAAACTAGAAGTCACTTTACAGAAGATGGACACCATCTGGCTAATGGACATGGGCTGTTTTGAGTTCTATGTCATTCACTAAAAATGAAAAGGAAACTAACACTTTCAGAAACCTTAGGATCCTTGCTGTCTCTGTAATTTGTTCCAATTGAGATGAGAATTTTAACTGGAGACTTACCTAGTCACCTGATTTACACATACCTTCACAGACCCTGTTTGCTCCTAGACAGACCCAAAATAGAAGAATGTTAATTAAGGCAGTCATGAGTGCGAACTCTGAAAATCCACTGGAATAACAGGATACTTTACACCTTGGTGTAACCCCTGGCCTGCTTGCACCCAAGTCTGCTCAGGCTGCAATACCTCAAGGACAGCAAAGCTTAAGGAAACTCCAAATAGTACAATTATCAAATGTCTCTAAAACTGTCCTTAGGAGTTGTAACTGAGATGGAGCATGTGGACTAGGATGAGGATCTAGCTGAGCTTGCAGCCAGGTAACTGACAGAAACAGGGATGTGCATGAAGCCTGATGTGCTGGTGGGGCTGCCACAGATGAGCAGATTGTTTCTGGGGAACTTAGTAATATTTAATTTTAAGGAAGATCAGCTTTGGGACTAACTTGGAGTGTCAATGGCCTTGAAAAGATCACCACCGCCCTGCATGTTAAAGGGACCTTTGCTACAAAACCCAAATATCTAGTAAGGGATTTGTGGAGCCTGGAAGGTGCCAACAGTGCATTAGGAAGGATCCTTCCCCACTCCCACAAACCACTCAGGTTCAACCCCTCAAGAGCTAGCCTATAAAAATATTTTAAGACAAAAAAAGAAGTCTTAGGCTCAGCTACAGGGCACTGTACCCTGCAGCCAAGCTGGTCACTGCCTTTGCTTTATTGTGGAAGCAGGGTTGGGAGGCACTTAGTGGGACAGAGAGTGCCAGGATGCTCTAGGCCTTGCCACCATTTCCTGGGATGAGGATTTTTAAGTTTCTGTAGGGGAAAGTCAGAGTTGCCCACATGCCAAATGAGGGACTATGTAAATTTCAGCGATGAGCTTTAACTACTACATAATAAAAAGGAAGGAAGCAAATCCTAACACTCAAATTTCTTATGGGGAAGGGGTTTGATCTGACTTCTCCCTGCTACTCTGTTCATGGACAAAAACATTTTTTGTAAAGAAATGGCCAGGTGGCAATCTTTACAAATGCTGAGCAGCTTTGAAGCCAGTGAAGAGCAATTCCCTAGCCAAGGTCCAACAGAACAGGCAAGGAGCATAAACTCTGCTTCATTTGATACTATTTCTGACCACAGAGTCCTGACATCCTCCAGGCCTCTACATACACAAGCAGAGTTCTGCACTGCACTAAGTCACTAGCTGCTACCCTCTGTGGGTAGGTCTTTATGCCCAGATACAAGACCTCTTTGCCCACATGAATAATCCTTGCCACAACTAGGGTAAGAAGTCACTGTTTGGAAATGCCACTAAAATGAAAATAGAACATGAGAAGAGTAACTCCCACACTGTTAACTATGCAACCAGTGATGCTTCACGGTGGTATGTCCAGTGAAGATGCCATGGTGGTGGGTAGAGAGTGTACTGGGGAAAACATGGTCATATTATCTGGAAAGAATCTCTGTTCAATTGCTAAGATAGAATTTTAGACCTTTCATTACAGTTTCCTTTTCCCTGGAATTTCCCAGCACCAACCAATCTTACCTTCCCTGCTTACTGCAGCCCCATGCATCAAGTTCTAAGCCTGCTACTATGGACCTGCTCCAAGATCACCACAGGCTTGGTGTCCAAGGAAGACCAGCTTAGATGCTCTAACTCAGTCTTGGGGCAGATGTGAGACATTGATTTTCTTTTCCTGGCCCTAGGATGCTGCATCCTGAAGCTTCTCTGGCAGTTGGAAGGCAGATTGGTCACCCTCTTTTGTCCACTACTGGCAATATGGTGGTGGCTGTTTAGTCACTAATTTTGTCCCCCAAGTCAACAGAAAGTTGCATGGCTATCTAGTAGGAAGTCCCTGGCAGTGGAGGAAACAGAAATTTTGCTTTGTTGTTGTTGTTGTTAAGTATCTCCTCTCTGAGATGAGGTGCCTTCTGGTTGGTCACAGTCTGGCTCGGTGCTCATCCCAAGTGCTCAGGAGCTGGGCTTTCAAGCTCTAGGCTGATTAGGTCAAGGGGCTCTGGTGGGGACTTTTCTCTGCAGTAGAGAAGATGAATGAAAATTCAAGTATGTTTTCTTGCCAACCTGAGAATTCACTCAGGATGACACAGAGTTTGGCTTCTTCTCTTCCAAGTGCTGCAAATCAGACTCTTTCCATCAAGAATGTCCTCTGGACCCACATTTTCTCTGAATGGCTTGGCTGGCCCATCCCCCTTGAAACAGAAAAAAGCACCCCCCAATATAACCAGACACAATATGCATCTGCCATGTTGTTTAAAAAACAAAAACAACCCCCCCCAATAAAAACTAAAAGTGCAATAAAGTCAGTTTCCTTTCCTTTGCTCAGAACCACAGGCGTGTTTTGCTACAGTCAGAGCAAGGGATTTCTTATCAAAAAAGCTAAGAACGCCAACACACAGGGACAGTAGACTGCAGATTTCTCACAGCTTGTGTCCTACAGTGTAACTTCACAGGAGGGAAGGAGGGAAGGAGGGAGGGAGGAACCTGAACCCTGTGGCCAGCTGGGCTGGGGTCACCCAGGCACAGAGGGAGAGGAAAGCCATACCACTAGACACACCTGGAAAGTGGAGAAGTCCTCCAGCCCAGGTCTGTCATCTTCCTCTTACCTTCTTGGCCACACCACCAGCTTCTTGACAGAGCCTTTAGCTTAGTAGTTTTTATGCTGGAGAGGGTTGCGGGTGGTGTAAGAACCAGGAGTAAAGGAAGAGGAGGGAAGAGAGTAGTAGTCCTTGAGTTTTTGTGAATGACACCTTCACTGTAAACAATGGGAAGAGAGTCAACCAGATGGCCCAAGGGCAAGCAGTGGAGAAGCAGCAGCTCTGGACCTGCTCAGAGCTCAGACAGAGGGGATTGCCACTGGCCCACTGGGCCCTGGCTGCCTGCACTGGCTCCTTCTGGGGGCATCTGTTTTCTTCTTTTTGGTTTGGATCGCCACCCTCCCCCACAGAGGAGTCCCTTCCAATGAGAAATGGCAGGAGCTGCAGGTGCAATTGGAACCAGAGTCCCCAGGACTTGAGGACTCCTGGGAGGCACTGGTCACTTGTGTCGCTGAGCAGTCTTCTTCCTTTTTCTCTTAAAGAAACAGCAGCACCTGGAGCACAAGAACATTTAAGTCAGTCTAGAAGTCTCTAGCTCCCTGCAGATCTCTGCCTGCTTCTGCTTACTGCAGGAGGTAGGGTTTTTTTTTTTTTCTCCTGGTGCCCACCCACATGGCTGCCCACCATCTACAGTTCACATACACTGGAACAGGCCATGCCTATCAGAAAGTTAGAGGTAACATCTGATTTGAGTTGCAGCCACTCCACCTGATTATCAAAATGTTGTCCATTAGACATGGCTGCCACAGGCATTTCTGGAAGAAGGATGAAGAAGGCTTTGTTTCTAGACTAACATCAAACCCAGATACTCCATCTTTGTCTAGAACCAAGATGGAGGGTGCTATAAAAATAGCCTCTAATGAATGCCTCTTGACACCAGCAGCAGTTCAATGCAACTCACTGGCCAGTAGGCAAGGAGGCTAAACTGAGGCAAATAAATCTCAAACAAAGTAGGAAATCTAGAACTCTGGCATAATGCCAACAAACAACTACAGATTCTTTGTGTCTTGTTCTTATTCCCAACATAACACCTGGAGTAAGCAGAAGCTCTAGCTCATAAAGGGTGAACCTTTATTTCCTGACATGAGCACAGGTGCTAATAACCCCAAGAAGACAAGTGCCTGAAGCCCAGGAGCTAATCCTCAGGAAACCCTGGTCACAGGGAATTTCCCATTTAGTTCCCCAAGACTGTTCAGGACTAATCCACTGATCCAGACAGAGTTAGCAACTGGTTTGTTTAAGGTAGAGGCTGAGGTCCTCCAAGTGCCATCTCTTGGGGGAACAGCCTGTAGAAGAGTGTTGGTACTGGTTCACCCTAACCCTGAAGATGCCCTCCTTACTCCAGTCTTTGGACTAGAAGTGTGGCTGCTGTGCAGGCATTGGAGAAGGGGATGTTGAGGGCTATGACAAGGTTGATGCAAAAGGTATGGTTTTTACAGAAATGACAAATGGAAAATGAGAAGGGTGGGTAGAAGGCAGTGGATGAGTCAAAGATGCCAGATGATGGAGGAGAATAAAGTTGTAAGTTATAGTTCAGATACATGATCCTCGAAAGAAAACTCTTTCTTAGCAAACTATCTTAACTCTCTTACCTAATCCTTCCAGGGTTCTTTAAAATAACTTATTATTTTATGTGTATGAGTGTATGTATTTTATGTGTATGAGTATTATTTTATGTGTATGAGTTTGCCTGTATGTATGTCTGTGTACCATGTTGAGTGGCTGGTGCCCACATAAGCTTGGGGAAGGTATCAGATTCCCGAGGGCTGCTCTGTGGTTGCTGGGAAATGAAACTGCCTTGTCTGGAGGAGCAGCAGGTACTTCCCTGAGTCCTCTCTCCAGCCCACCTCCCAGGCTTCAGTGCAAGGGACGCTCATATACAACAGAAACTACTGCTCACTCCCATACTGCTATCTCCTCCCTGCACTTTAGCCCTCTCCTTTTAGACCTCTTGTGTTACTTTATTTTATCTCCCCACCAGCTCTCTCTCAATTTTTCCAGACAGGGTTTCTCTGTGTAACTCTGGAACCTGTCCTGGAACTCACTCTGCTGACCAGGCCAGCCTCAAACTCACAGAGATCCAACTGCCTCTGTTTCCTGAGAGCTGGGATTACAGGTGTACACCACCACCGCTTGGCCCATGTTACTATATTTTCTAACAGTGTTCCTAATATTTTCATCAGTAAAAATTTGGATAAAGTTTCTTTTCTCTTTTGAGACAGGAAGTCGTTATTATGTAGCCAAGGCTGGCTTCAATTGTGCAATCCTTTGGCCTCAGCCTCCACAGTTCTAGGATTTATAGGTGTATATCACCTTATCTAGACTGAGAAAGTTTCTCAGATTGCAGAAATAAACATTTACACAAATAGCAATGTGAGCTTTCCAAGAATTGAAATTCATGAATAAAATGTGGAATTTTGAGACAGGAGTTTCTTTTCTTTTCTTTTTGTGAGACAGGTTTTTCTGTGTAACAGTAACAGTCCTGGCTGTCTTGGACTTTGTTTCACTTTGTAAACCAGTCTGGCCTTGAACTCACAGAGACCCACGTGCCTCTGCCTCTCAAGTGCTGGGATTAAAGGCATGTGCCACAACTGCCTAGTGAGACAGGGACTTTTTTAATTATTTATTTAGTATATATACAGTGTTCTGCCTGCAGGCCAGAAGAAGGCACCAAATCTCATTACAGATGGTTGTGAGCCACCATGTGGTTGCTGGGAATCAAACTCAGGACCTCTGGAAGAGCAGTCAGTACTCTTAACCTCTGAGCCAACTCTCTAGCCCACCAGTCTTACCTGTTTCAACTATGATTTTCATTGGGTTTATAAACTCTAAAAATTAATCTCTGTTTTTACTTTCTATGTGGAGGACCCAGAGATAATGATTTTTGTGTTTTCAAATAAAAACACTCCCAAAATATCTGAAATACTGGGCCCATTTCTAAATGTCCAATGGATTCTCTTTTACTTTGTTCAGGGCAACTCATGGGAATTAGCGTGTGCTACCACTGACTCACTAGAGTGCACATGCGCAGAGTGCCATATTGAGCCTTAAACAGCTTCAGCTGGAGTAGAAGCTTTTAATTCCATCAACCAGGAAGGAGACCTCAGTCTGTTCTTAAAGCCTTTGGTTTCTATGTTGACCACCAGCAAGAGGATCCAGACTTGAGGTTAAATCACTCTACACTGATATGCTCCTCAGAGCAAAGTGAGGACAAATGACTCCCTTTGTGTCTTAGGTTCCCTTCCAGTTGATCCTTTGAGTGATCAGAAATTCTTACAAGTTAGAGTCAAAACTGATCCAGGATTCTCCCCATAAGCCATCAAACACTCTTCTCACAGGCCTTTGACCTGACCATCACTTCTATCATTCCTGCGCCATATCATCTCAGCACTCTCCTGGTGGTTTCTCTTCTTTACCACACCCTCTTTTTCCTCCTCTGCTCAAGTCTTGCTGTGCCTAAGAGTCTTCCTTGAGAATGCACAGTGATTGCACACCCTGTCAGCCTTCTGAGAATAACATGAGAGTTCTGGACAAGTCCTTGTCCTTTCACATATGTATGATTCACTTTATAGCTGGGTGACACCTAAGCCTCTAGGGCAGGGCTCCCCTTCACTTGCCCTGTTCTTCTCTGCCATCCCAGGTCTCTGAGTTCTATGCACAAGGTTGGACAAGCATAGTAGGACCTAAAGTATTTGTAATTGGGATCATGTGACTGACACCTCACAAGAAAAAAAAAAATAGACCATGACAACATTAGATTACACAGACACATGAACAGGCCAAATGTCCTCTTTGAAACCCTAACACTACCAATCATACTGCCATAAAACCCAACTGTTATCTTCAATACATATCTATTCCTAGGCAAACCCCCGTGGACAATTTACCTTAGATAGTCAGAGTTCAGAAATCAAGGCCCAACTCAGGTACTGAAGATAATTTTTCTAAATGAAGTAGTCAGAATCCAAAAGGCTATTAGCATAGAATATGACCTTATATTACAGATTAGCATAGAATATGACCTTATATGTACAGATATGTGGGAGGGTTACAAACTGTCACCAACATGAATCCTTCAGGGATTTTCCTTCCACATCCCCATATGTCCTACATCTGTACTAAAAAATCTTTCTTGGAAGAAAAGACAGGTTCCCATATCCTTGTCAACTCTAACCCACTATCCTCTTATCAAAGAATAAAGAAAAAACATAAAAAAACCAGCAATGTCCAACCAACACCAAAATGTTGATCTTTCTTTCAAAGAGTTTTCCTTTTTTAGAGACTCTTACTATAGATGAAAAAACAAAATCAACAAGGCACTTATGGATTTCCTCCAAACAGCCTATTTCCACATTTCAAAACAAGTTGCTAAAGGTGAGATTGATTATCTGGTGAGAACACTGTTCTGTGGTTATTGAAATGTCTAAAACCTTATCTTTCTAACCTTGGCCCCTCTCCTGATAGTGATAGTCGTAACTTGGAAGAAAAAAAATTGGAAGAAGGAAGTTCACTCATCTTAAAAAAAAAAAAAAAGTTAAGTTTGGGTATCGTGAGATCATTTTTGGTAGGAGGGTGCAGTGACAAATGAGGTGGGATTGAAAGAAAAGAAGGAAAAGATTGACTTCTGGGTACAGGCCGGTCCCACCCGATCTTGTGGCCCTAATCTCCTCAGTCTGGGTGGCTAAGACATGAAGAGGTATATGGAATTCATTCAGTATTTCTAATGCTTTGCCAATCCCAGTCTAGTCAGGTCCACTCCCCTTGCATGTGGACTAGAGAGAGGGACTCACCACAGGTTGAGCATTTTCAGGCAGCTACAGAGTATATAAAGAGAAAAACATAGAAAAGGAAGAGAGAGAGAGAGAGAGAGAGAGAGAGAGAGAGAGAGAGAGAGAGAGAGAGAGAGAGAGAGAAAGAGAGAGATTAGTCCACGGATGAGATGGAAGTGACTTCCTGTGAGCATGCAAACATGCAGTATGTGTCTGTGTTTAGTTTCCTCCTGCTGAGGGAGGCTGAGCAGGCCACTTGGCTCACATTTAACAGGAGGCAGAAGCCTGACATGAGTATCAGTGTGGAAGCTGCATCTCAGGGGATGCAAAATAGAAAGAGCTGGTGGAAGCCTCAGGGTGGGCTTTCCAGGGAGGCAGCAGGGAAGGAGCAAGTGACCTGGCCTGTGAGAATGCAAGCATCAAGGCTGAACCACCTGGTTCCCACACCAGATCTCGTACAATGCTTAGCTAACTTCCATACTCCAATTCAAAAAGCAGCAGCTAGCACTTAGCTCTTAGAGACAGGAAAAGTTTAAGAGATACTTTATCTTATTAGAAGATGAAACACAGGGAGTTCACTGCTTAGAAATAACTACTAGAGAAGAACCTAAAATTCTAACTACACTAATTCTCAGGAGACACTGGGCCCACAATTATCAAGATATAGCCAAAGTATAGACAATAAAAATTCTTGTACTCTTACTATCACAAAAATTGACCTAAAAATCATCTGCCCTCACCATTCCTCCAACCATACTTCAACAAAAGTGTCTTGTACTTACAAGAAAAGGGAAATCAAGTGTCCATTTCTTTTCTTTTTCTTTCTTTCTTTCTTTCTTTCTTTCTTTCTTTCTTTCTTTCTTTCTTTCTTTCTTTCTTTTGGTTTTCCGAGACAAGGTTTCTCTGTAGCTTTGGAGGCTATCTTGGAACTAGCTCTTGTAGACCAGGCTGGCCTTGAACTCAGAGATCCGCCTGCCTCTGCCTCCCGAGTGCTGGGATTAAAGGCGTGCGCCACCAACGCTCGGCCGGCTGTCAAGTGTCCATTTCTTTACACTGATTAAAACCATCATCCCGTGGTTTTGTACTAACTTTACATTTAGCAAGTTGGGAAAGGGAACCTAAAACCAAAAGCTTTCACGCTTTCCCTGTACTTGAGCTTAACTACAATAGAAGCAACAGCCCTCCTTATCCTATCAACAGGCTACATCAACAAATGGCATCATACCTTGTGTAATGAGGGATTGTTTGGGACACCTTCTCCTCTCTCTCTCTCTCTCTCTCTCTCTCTCTCTCTCTCTCTCTCTCTCTCTCTTTTTCAGACAGTGTTTCTCACTTTTTGAGACAGGGTTTCTCTGTGGCTTTGGAGGCTGTCCTGGAACTCGCTCTGTATACCAAGTGCTGGTACTAAAGGTGTGGGCCACCAATGCCCGGCTTCCTCATGTCTCTTTAGCTTTGACTTTTCCATGAGAGTGAGCTAGTGAATGTATGGCTACTGTATCCTTACCCCCCCACACATCAACAGAGATATACCATATATGTACATGGCTGAGCCCTGATAGTTCCCTAGGCAAAACAGATTGGTAGCTCATGAAATCACTACAGACATTTGGTCAAAGGCAACTACTCTCTTTTAGTTTCTATGTTTTTCAGAAGGCCTAAACCTGTAGCTGGGGGTAAGAGGTATAATGGTTCTTTCTGCTAATGGGAAGACTTTCCCCTCACTTTATATTCTATGACAGAACAGAACACACCCGGCTGAGCTCATTCTGTATGAGTGGCCTCTATCTTTCACATTGAACACAAACACCACACTCACACACAGTTAATGCATACGTTTACTAAAATGAAATGAAAAGGTCTGAAAATAAATCTGTTCAGGGCCTAAGGCTAAAATTCATATGAACTTGGTGCTCAAAGTATAGTATTAGATTCAGATCTAAATTTCTAAAAAGAATAGGCACAAATATGAGAAGGGGAGAAAGGTGGGGTAAGGTGGGAAAAGACATGGCTCTCTTTCAAGAGAACAGCATGCAGAGCATACCCAATTTTGGCTGCATGTTGGAATTCCCTTAGCTTTTAAATAAAATAAAATATTTTCATTACCAGGCCAGATACTAAAAATTAACCTCAAATCTCTGTGTCCATATAGAAGTATCTGTATTTTCTAACATACTCTAGGAGATTCCAAAGTGAGAATTCAGAAAATGGGAATATCATTATATATAATTTACTGAGAATGAAGGAAAAAATTTTAAATTTGTTTTAAAGATTTATTTATTATGTGTATAGCGTTCTGTCTGCATGTATGTCTGCAGGCCAGTAGAGGGCACCAAATCTCATTACAGATGGTTGTGAGCTACCATGGTGTTGCTGGGAATTGAACTCGGGACCTTTGAAAGAGCAGACAGTATTCTTAACCACTAAGCCATCTCTCCAGCCCGAAAGAAAAAAATTTAAGCATTAAAATCTGCCAATCAACTGAGAAAAAGGACTGTGATTAATTACTAAAATAGTCTCCTGGCATCACCTTCCCAATCTACCCTATATCTATAGGTATCAACAGGATAGAGCCAAAGTTGCCCTCATTCGCTTTTTTATCTTTAAGTAGGAAAAGACCTCCTAAAGGCCGAGTGAGCTTAACCATGACAAGTACATCTGGAAAAAAGACTGAAGTGGTCGGTGAGCCTGACTGATGCCCAAAATTACAAGCATGTACTGATTTGTACTAAAAATATGTTGCTTGCCCCAGGACTGGCGGTAGTTACTGACTCATGTTTCTCTAATTTTCCCTACCTGATATCTTCTTGAAGTTTAAACCTGGATTTGAGTTTGGGATGGGGAAAAAAGCAAAAGGAGTGGTAGAAATGCTGTTTGTACAGCAGAATCAGCAGCACCTTCCAGCCCAGAATCTCAAGAGTTTAAACACAGACCATGCAGAAAGCACCAAAGGGCTAGTGGGAGAACACAGCAAGACACACACATGCAAGAGAAGCAGAAGAGGAGGTGAGGAACTGCCTTTGCTTTCCTGGGATTAGGGTCACTTTGCTGTCCCAAGAATCTCGTATTTACAAGCACAACTGTCTTGCCTTGCCCGAAAATTACTTAGTTTTTCTAAGCTCAGACTGTTTGAAAGACAGCAAAATGTTGCCCACACCCTTCTATTCCTGGCCATCCATCTGGAGTGGTTAGGCAACAATTAGAAATGTGATACTATATACCAAGGCCCATGGTTTAACACATTTTTTTTTTCCTCTGTAACAGATAGGGAGCAAGAAACTCTAGCGCCTCCAAGAAATTCATGACTACTGTAGCTTTCACTGCATGGTTCTTTTTGTCCACTGTCTTTTGCGGAAGGCAGCCTAGGAAAATATAACTATCTGCCCAGAAACCAGAGCTGAAGAAGGGTGGTAGGGTCATTAATGCAGCATGCACAAAACTAAAATGGTCAGAAGCATCGACACAAGCATGAGGAATCCAGTCTGTGATGAGCAGCACACAGAGGAAACAGAGTAGAGTTTCCAACCCATGATGACACAAACCCTTTGAAAGACACACAACCCCTTTGAAAGATAAACGTACTTAGCTTCCTCCACTACCTCCACCTCAGCATGAGCCGTGATTGGTGCATTTGAGTGAGCTCCAGTTGGGTCATCAACGTTCAGCTCTCCGTTGGTTGAGCTGACCACCTGAAACAGAGACAGACCAACATAAACACTATGGTTATATGAAGTTCCTACCTCCACAAGAGTAGATTAGGCGAGATTAGGTCTCACACTTGGGTACTAGCCAGACAGGGTGTGGAATATGTGTTTACTTGGGTTAAGAGAACACTGTCCTGATATAGGGAAGGTTCCTAGACCTGTATCTTGTCAGAACACTTAATGATATAATCATACAATGATGACAATTAGTTTCATATTGAGTGCCTACTTTGTGCTTAGTACTCTGCTATACTGTATGTGTATAAATTTAATCCTTATAAATCCCTTATTTAATATGTCACAATTATTTGTGTGTATTCATGTATGTGTGAGGGTGCATGTGTATGCACACACCACACAGGTCAAAGGTTAACATTGGTGTCTTTCTTCAGGAACTTTCCACTCTATTTTGGGAAAGGGTTTCTCACTGGACATGCAGCTTGCTGATTAGTCTAGGCTGGCTGGTCAGTGAAACCCAGAGATTCCTAAGCCTCCACTACTCCAGTGCTGGGATTGCAAGGACAGGCTATCACTAAGCTGCCTTAAAAAAGAAAACAAAGCAAAACAAAAACAAAACAACAAACAAGCTGGGAGGTGGTGGTGCTCGCCAGCACTCGGCAGGCAGGCAGAGGCAGGCGGATCTCTGTGAGTTCGAGGCCAGCCTGGTCTACAGAGTGAGTTCTAAGACAGCCAGAGCTACACAGAGAAACCTTGTCTCAAAACAAACAAGCAAACAAACACAGTGTGTATGTGGAGGTTGGAGGATAACTCACAGGATGTGGCTCTCTCCTTCTACTGTGTGTTTCTTGGTTGTTGAACTCATGTCATCAGGCTTGGTGTGAAGTGCATTTCCCTACTGTTTCATCTTGCTGTCCCCCAGCCCCAATTATTCTCTTTTAATGACTTAACCAAGGGTTCAGTTAGCATCTGTGGGCGTTTATGGCTTCCACCTGTGTCTGTTCACAGATTCTTTCATTTTTCAAAAATGTGTACAGTTTTTATTAAAAAAAAAAAAAAGTAATTGAGCCGGGCAGTGGATGGCCCATGCCTTTGATCCCAGACCTCGGGAGGTAGAGGCAAGCGGATCTCGGTGAGTTTGAGGCCAGCCTGGTCTACAAAGCAAGTTCTAGGACAGTCAAAGCTGTCTTGAAAAACAAACAAAACATTCTGTATGCTAACTTATAAAGGTTAACTCATTTGCTCCCTTGACCATGGGGGGGGGTAAAAAATTCTACCACTCTCAGTTTATTATACTACATAATTATAAACTTTGGGTAATGGTGATTTAAAAAATAAATTCTCAAAAAGAAACCAAGAATGGGCACCAGAAACCATAAATAATCACACTTTCCTTCAGAAATTTCTTCATGGCTTTGATCACTGGTTTGAAGTTACTCAAACAAGACTGTTACACCCTCTCTGTTGAGAAGGAAGACGGTAAGGACAAATTTCCCTTGAAAAACCAGTCTTATTTCAATGACTTTTATTTCAGGTTCACTGTCATCCCACTTCTCACTGATGGTCCCAGAACTGTAAATGATGGCTCTCATTCCTGTCATCTGGTTCATGTGGACCCGATCAGGCTTGTCTTGCTTGTACAGTTGCTTCTGCCACCTGGTTTCATTTCCAGCACATGATTCCTGCTTATGTGGGTGCTGGGGAGTGGGAAAAGGGACCCCGCACAAACCAGTCTGCTGTTAAAGATCTTGGCTGAAACATGGGAGAGAACCACAAAATAGGATAAATGGTTCAGATAGCTTATGGTATTGGGTAATAACTTCATCTATTTGAGACTGTTCTTACAGACTGATGTGAGGATAGCATAAGGAATGGATGGGGGATTCCTTGTATATAATATTGGAGGAAGTAGGAAATAGTAAGAACTGAGTTCTAAAATTAGGTGGTAGGGGCTGGAGAGATGGCTTAGCAGTTAAGAGCACTGGTTGTTCTTCCAGAGGACCCAGTTCAACTCCCAGCACCCACACAGCAGCTCACAGATGTCTGTACCTCCAGTTCCAGGGGGGTCCAACACCTCCCAAACAGAAGTGCATACAGGCAAAACAATAATGCACATAAAATAAACAAATCTTTAAAAAATTAGGTAGCCATGGGTTTGAACTCTAACTGTATTGGCTGTGGGTGCCTGGACAAGATCTTCAATCTTTCTGTACCCAGTTTCCTAGTCTGTAAAATTTATTCTAATGGAGTCACCATGCAGAGAAGCCACAGGAAGTGTTCAGCCCAGAGCCATAAGACATAGTAATGGCTCAAAATATTCATCTAAGCTGGGTGTGGCAACACATGCCTTTAATCTCAACACTCAGGAGGCAGAAGCAGGCAGATCTCTGTGAGGTCGAGGTCAACCTGGTCTCCAGAGTGAATTCCAGGATGGCCACAGCTACACAGAGAAATTCTGTCTCAAAAAACAAAACAAAATAAGACTCATCTTACTGATACTCTTATTTTCCTCAAGCTATGGGGTACATACTAGTAGGTAATTTTACAAAATTTTCTAAACAATCATAAAAAGAAAAGGAGGAAATGTTTACTGCCTTTGAGGCAGACAGTGAAAACTTGAAAACTGCCTACTAGTAATGTATAACCACCAATATTTCTACAAAAGAATAACTACTCCACCCCCCAGCTTATTTTGGACAAGGGTCTCATAATGTAGCTCTGGTCTGGTGCACTCTGTATTGCCTAGGCTATATAAACTCATGGTACTATATAAAGCCATGACACTGCTCCTGCCTCAGCTTCCACAGAGGTAGGATTACAACAGGTCTAGAATATCATGTCTGGCTTTTTTCTTGTCAGTAAGACATGAGTGAGAAAAATTACAATAATGATATATGGTTAATGAAAAAAAAAAAAAAAAGAACCCCACAACATTAAATTTGGACTTACCTGAGGAAGACTCAAATTTCTGCTAGTGATCAAATTTAGTATCTCTGATTAGTGGACAGCCTAACATTACACATATTACACAAAACAGTATTTTCCCTTCTCTGCAAACAGGTTTCTTCTGAATCTAATCACAACTTCAAAAATTAGAAGATAAAAAATTTTTTTTTAAAAAAAAAAGCTGGGTGGTGGTGGCACTCGCCTTTAATCCTAACACTTGGGAGACAGAGGCAGGTGGATCTCTGTGAGTTTGAGGCCAGCCTGGTCTACAAGAGCTAGTTCCAGGATAGCTTCCAAAGCCACAGAGAAACCCTGTCTTGAAAACGAAAAACCAAACAAACAAAAAAGATATTATGACCCTATTGATTGTCTTGGAGAAGGCAATGGAGTTACTGCTTATATGAAAGAATGTATTTGTTCTTAGGAGACGTAGGTGGAAGTGTGTGGGGCTAAGATAAACTGTTTTTTTGGTTTTTTTTTTTTTTTTTTTTTTTTTGAGACAGAGTTTCTCTGTAGCTTTGGAGGCTGTCCTGGAACAAGCTCTTGTAGACCAGACTGAACTCACAGAGATCTACTTGCCTCTGCCTCCTGAGTGCTGGGATTATGGGCACGTGCCACCAACACCTGGCTAACTGTAACTTTCAAACTGTCGGTAAAGCAAACACACATAAACACAGGAACATATGAATTGCAAATATGCAAAGTTAAAGTAAATATGGCAGAATCCTAACAATTTCTTAATGGAGGTAAAGGATAGTCCCAACTTTTCTGTAGATTTGAAAATTTCAAATCAGAAGTTGGGGGAAGCCCAGCACATAAAAATGGCTGAGAAGGTTAAATGATGCGAACCACATCTTGCTGCCTTCCTCAGTTTCTCTGGGATTCCTGTGGGTGTATTTTCTAGCACACACAAACTGTTAACACTGGTAAGTGACTTATTCTATGACCACAATGGTTATACATGGAAGTAGTGACCTGAAAGTTTACATTTATTTATTTATTTATTTATTTGCAGAATTGGGGAGTAAATAAAAGGCTATGTGTATTCCAGGAAAGCACTGTAGCTGAATTATATCCCCAGCCCTGAATCACTGTTATTTACAATGTATAGAGTGTTCTGCCTGCACACCAGAAGAGGGCACCAGATCTTAATATAGATGGTTTTGAGCCACCATGTGATTGCTGGGAATCGAACTCAGGAGCTCTGGAAGAACAGCCAGTGCTCTTAACCTCTGAGCCATCTCTCCAATCCAAACCACAGATTCTTAATGAACAATTAAGGAATTAGACAAAATGTCATGTAAGATGTCTTGGCTAAAAGCCACGTGTAGGGGCACATACCTATAATGTTAGCATTCAAGTATCTGAGGCAGGAGAATTGGAAGTATGCAGCCGGCATGAGTTGCAGGGGGAATTCAAGGTTACCCTAGCATACTTACCTATGTATCTCTTCAATTCTACTAACATGAATCACTAGTAAGGCACTCCAGAGACTTACCTGTGATTCTGGGTCATGGTAAAGTCTTATACTTTATAATAATTTCTCCTCCCTATAAATTGCTACTAAGCCTGCAAGCAGTGTCCTTAGGCAATCTAAGGAAGAGGTTATTTTCAATTTATAATTTTTTTTATCTGTATTGGAAATTTCATAATTTCAAACAAATCAGGCACAAAAGGAACATTATTCCCCTTCCTACCCTTACACCTATCTGTATCTAAAACATGTCTGAAGCACATGGTAGTACTCTGTAACCCTAGCACTCTGGATGAAGAGGCAGAATGACTGAGTAGAGACTACCATGGGCTACATAGTGAGAAAAGTAAAACCAAAAAATAAAATAAAAGAACCTTAAAGAAAATCTTAAATAACATGTCTGGGCCCTTGCTCAGTTGGTAGAGCACTTGTGTAGAGGCATAAAGCCCCGGATTTGGTTCCTGGTACCACATAAAAACAAGTATGGTGGCACATACCTATAATTCTGGCACTCAGGAGATAGAGGGAGAAGAATCTTAAGTTCAAGGTCATCATGGGTTACATAGCAAGTTTGAGACCAGACTGACCCTGTCTCAAAATATAAAAA